CCCCAAAACCCCAAAACCCCAAAACCCCATAAATTTCAATTTTGACTCTTAGGTTTGTATAATATTTTAGTTTTAAAGAATTTAAGTAATTTCAATACGTTGAAACATTTTCTATATTAATCAAATTCTGTAATAAGTTTTTAATTTAGTCCCCAATTCAATCAATGGAGATTTTTATTTTTTGACTACTTTTTTTTCAAATTCTTTGAATAGGCGATAAGTTAATTGGAACATTTATCTCAACAGCAAAAGACTTTGGAGGTTTTCTATCATAATGATAATCTTTCTTAAATCTAAATTCTAACTCTGAAACTATCATTGGGACAATACACTTTGCAATATTTTCAGCAAAGGTCTTGCCCAAGCATATTCTTCTACCACCTAAAAATGGGCTGAAACTAAAGGGTTTTCTCTTTTTACCATCTGGAGTCAAGAAATATGAACTTTCAGGATCAAATCTTTCTGGAATAAATTTGGTTGGTTCTTACCATTCCAATGGATTTCTATGTAGAAGGAGGAAACTGCATGTGATTGGTATACCTTTTTCAATAGTGTAGCCACATACCTGTATTTTCTCATTTAGTTCCATTGGAATTGATGATCTTACTGGTGGCTCAATTCTCATTGTCTCTTGAATGAGATAATAAAGATATTTCCAATCCTCTTAAAGTTAATCGTAGCCTAACTTAGAAATCCAGATCTCTGGAGTCAACTTTAGTTTATCAAATGGGATTGGATTGCTTCTGTCTGAACTCATAGTTTGAGATATTTCTTGCCTTAATTTATGTTTAACTTCAGGCAAAAATTCATAGTAATAGAGAGTATTAGTTATTAAGGCAGTAGTTGTTAACGTAGAAGCTAAAATGAAAGTTGCAATCTCATCTTTCATTAAGCTTTCATCTTCTTTAAATAGATCATCAGTAAGCAGCATAGTAAGAAAATCAGCACCATCAAAATTTGGATCTTTCATTTTCTCTTTTCTTTCATCAATTAGTCTTTGTAGGAGTTCTCTAAAGTTAAAAACATTTTTTTCAAGTATTTTTTCTTGTTAACCAATAAATAAACTGTCAAATAGAGTTGTAAATTGCCTTAAAGGTTTCATACTTTTCCTTGACATGCCCAGGAATAATCTACTAACAGCTACACCAAGAGATACTTCTTAAATCTTATCATCTACAATCAAAGAAAATACTTGCTTGATCTAAGTCTCACCGAATACACTCATCAAAATACAATCAAGAATGTGACTATTGATCATGAAGTTAAGTTCTCTCTCATTATTGCCATTTTTAATGTCCTCCTTTATTCCTTCTATCCAAGTAAAAGTCTTTCTGATAATTATTTAAAGATTTTATGTCATCTTGTCTTTGTAAAATGCTGATGAGAGACGTTTTCTTCTGCTAGCTTAAGACTCAGAGGATTTATCAAATAGGACTGAATCTCCTACCAACTACTAGAAATACTTTTTATCTCTGTGATACTTGTCAACATATTTGCCCTTTGTCACTAATAGCTCTTAAAGTATGTCTGGGTTGCTAATTACAATCATACCTTCTGCTACTCTAAAATCAAGAAAGATATCTGGTATTTCTTCCCCTTTGAATTCACTCTTATAGTACTCATGGAAAAGCTAATCAGAATATTCATTCATTTTTGATAGCTGATTTTTCAAGGCAAACATATTTCCAATTATTGGCTTTGGGAAACATATTGGCCTAATCCCCTATCTTTTGTAGAACCAATATCTGTAATACATCTTTACTACTCTTTCCCAAAGGAAATAGAAAAGGAAAAAATAAAAAATTAGTTAAAGAATCATTATGTTGCTCAATATCTAACTATTTATTATAAATCCCTTAAATTATATGCTGAAATTTATTAAAATAAATTTTCGTAATTATCAGCCATGATCCCACTTTCTGGGGTTTTGGGGTTTTGGGGTTTTGGGG